CCGAGAGGAGAATGGAGGAGAAGGGATTGCAGTGTGGCCATCCCCCCTGGGGATGGGGTGATTTCTCGCTTTCTGTCTTTCTGTGTCTCTCTTTCTTTCTGGTGAGCACACACGCCCTATAGCAAAAACCTCTCCAAAACGAACAAACAAACAAACAAATAAAATAGGTTTTTGTCTGAATATTTGGGAGTCTAGAAGTGAAGTTTAGAGCATAGCTTCCCTCTTGTGCACTTACTTGTAAGAGAGAAAGAGAGAGAGAGAGACTCCCAATGAGGTGTGGTCACAGTGAAATCCCTTTTCCTTCATTTCTTCTTTCTGTCCAGATTTTGGGCTCTCATACACACATTCTGGCAAATTTTTCAAGTCACTGGGGCTGGGATTTGAACTGCTGTTGGCCATATGGGTTGCTCATCTTTGTGGTTTAAACCAATAGACCTCTTAGCTCATCCATTAATAACTATAGACCAATTACTCCTTTTTTTGAGAGGTTTTTGCTATAGGATGTGTGTGCTCACCAGAGAGAGATAGAGAGAGAAAGCAAGAAATCACCCCCCAGGGTGGATGGCCATGCCAGAATCCCTTTTCCTCTATTCTCTTGGGATCTTGGGCATGCACATGTATGCACATGTGTCCAGCATGAATTTAAGTCACTGGGTCCGGGACTTGAACTGTGGTCGACTACATGGGAGTCCAGTGACATAGCCATTATGCCAACTGCTGGTCCTCCAATTACTCCTTTTAGCCCCATTTCATTCATGGATTTAAGTCAATCCATCTAATTTGTTAATTTAATCACAACTTTCTTATATTTATAATGCATGAAGATATAACTAACATACATTTTATAGGTTTTGAGTATGTATACATCCATAAAATTATCATTACAATAAAACCAGTAGAAAATAATCACCCCGCCAAAAGTTTTCTTCTGTCCCTTCTTCCCTAAGAAAAAGAGAGAAATCACTGCATAATGGGACATGGTGACATCACAATCGGTTTCCTCCATTTTTCCATCCTGTCAGGATTTGGGGTATACATGCACAGGCACCCAGAGTGTTTTTCAAGCTGCCATGTGAGATCCAGCTCCCTTAACCACTAGGTCATGGGACCAGCCTGCATTTTACTGTATTTTTACAGAAATGAAATTATACAGTATATACTATCTTTTTGGGGACTGAGCTCTGGCTTCCTTTTTTTTTTTTTTTTTTACTTTTAACTACCGTACCTCTCTCAAGCATACAAAAGCATACAAAATAAATTTTCCCAGCATGAATACACTACATATTAGTCCAGTCAAATATATTACCATACACATTATCATCAACAGATAATTTTCCATTTGTGTGTCCATTGAACATTTTGTTTTTCCCCCTTGATTTTCTCCCTCCTGCTCCCATTGCCCATCTTCCTCCCACACTGTCCTTAGTATCCACAGTTCCTTTCCATGCCTTTATACCTTCCAGTCTTTCACTTTCTGCCATAGAGTGCAGACATTCAGTTACTTATCATAATTATTTTTAGATCTATCCAAATTGTTCAGTCCGTTTTATTGCTGAGTTATATCCTACTGTATAAATATGCCAGTTAATTTTTCCATTTTCCTACTGGTGGATGTAGGGTTTCCAGTTTTAGGCATGGAAAAATACTGTGGACTAAATTGTGCCCACCCATTCGTATGTTAAAGTCCTACTCTTGGGACCAGCAAGTGGCGGTGGTTAAAGCGTTGGATGGTCCCACATGGCTGACCACGGTTCGAGTCCTGGACCTGGTGGCTTGCTTTCTCACCTTGTCTCTCTCTCTTTGTGTCTCTCTTTGGTCAAATTAAAAATAAATGAATGAGGGACCAGCAGTTGGCGTAATGCCTATGTCGCTGGACTTCCATGTAGTTGACCGCGGTTCGGATCCCAGACCCGGTGGCTTAAAACTCACGCTGGGTACGTGTGTGTGCGTGCCCAAGATCCCAAGAGGAGAATGGAGGAGAAGGGATTGAGGCATGGCCATACCCCCTGGGGGTGATTTCTCACTTTCTATCTCTCTGTCTCTCTCTGTCTGGCAAGTGCATGCACCCTATAGCAAAAACCTCTCCCAAAAATAAATAAATAAATAAATAAATAAATAAATAAATAAAGGAGTAAATAAAGTTAAATAAATAATTATTTTTTTTTAAAAAAGCCCTACTCCATTCTTAAAACAGTGATTAAGCCTCTGTATGGAGAGAGCCATATCCCACATGTTCTACTACTATCATTTGAATCCCAGCCCCAGGAGCTTGGAAAACACACAGGGCGCTTGTGTGTTGTGTCCAGGATCTTGATGGGGAGAAGGAATGAAGGAAAGGAGATTGTAGCATGATGGCCCCACTGAGGAGCTTTCTCTCTCTGATAAGTAAATGTAACTTCAGGCAATAATAATAATGATATTAAAGCCCTCACCTCCCAATGTGGCTGTATTTAGAACTAGGATCTTGGGACCAGCAGATGGCATAATAATTATGCCACTGGACTTCCATGTAGTTGACTGGTTCGAGTCCCAGACCCAGTGGCTTAAAACTCAAGCCGGGTGCATGCGTGTGTGTATGTGCATGTCCAAAATCCCAAGAGAAGAATGGAGGAGAAGGGATTACAGCATGGTTGAGAAATCCCGGGTGGTGATTTCTCACTTTCTGTCTCTCTGTTTCTCCGGCAAGCATATGTGCCCTATAGCAAAAATCTCTCTCTTAAAAAAAAAAAAAAGAACTAGGATCTTTAGAAGGTAATTAAAGTTTAATTTTACCGGAGAGGGACAGAGCAAGAGAGAGAGAGTAGGAAAGTGGGAAAGCAAGCCACCAGTTCCAGGACTCAAACTGTGGTCTGTCACATGGGAGTCCTGAATCCTCAACCACTACACCACTTGCCAGCCTGATAATTAAAGTTTAAATGAGGCCATGAGGTTGGAACCCTAATCAGACAGGACTGTGGCCTTATAAGAAGAGGAAGAAAGAGCAATCTCTCATTCTGTCAACTACATTTGAGGGCACAGTGAGAAGTCAGCCATCTGCAAGCCAGGCAGAGAGCCCTCAGAAGGAGTCCGATTGCCAGCACCTCAATCTTGGACTTAACAGCCTCCAGATTTGTGAGAAATAAGTGTCTGTTGTTTATGTGGCCCTGACTTGATATTCTGTCATGGCAGCCCAGATGATGAGGCAAGAAAACCGCTATGAATAATCATATACAAATCTTGGTGTAGATGGATGCTTTCCTTTACTTTAATACTCAGGAGTGGAATGACTGGGTCATAGGTGTACATTTAACTTTTAAAGACACTGCCAAACTGTTTTCTAAAGTTGCTATACCTGTTTGCGTTTTTTTTTCCCCACCAGCAGTATTTTAGCATTCCATTTCCTCCTTATTTTTGGCAACAATTGGTATGGTCAGATTTTTAAATTTTATTCACAGTCCTCAGTTAATAGAAGCAGCGCGCCTGAAGCAGAATGAGGCTAAAAGCGTGGGTGCTAGCTCCCACAGCCAGGCCTCCCTTCTGGCGACCAGGAAGGTCGCAGAGCCAGTGCGGGCGCGGGACAAGGGACTAGCCAGCTTCAGCTGCGTCCAGACCTGGGCGGGTCGCCAGGTGAGCGATCCTGGGTGCTCGAAACAAGACGCTGGCAGCAGTGCGTCCACTGGGCGAACCACTGGCATGGAGCAGCGTGCTGGGGGCGCCGA